CATTGGTGAATGCCACAAATTCTCCTAAATCACTCGTACGCACAATTTAAGAACAAATCTGTGCGTACGAACTGTTCTTGCATGAGGCCCATTGCCTTCCCTAATGAATTAATAACAGTTTTTCGATGTGTTGATGACGTTTCGGGCATGTACCTAAACTATTTTAATCAGAAGTTAACAATAGTTAAACAGTGGATTATTAAAGTTAATACTTAAAAGGAAAACTAAGAAAATGGTGTAGTGCTTTTAGCATCAGAATCTAACCGATAAATTACTTCAACAATTCAAAGAAATAAAAAAAAACAAAAGCAAAAAACACAGCATGACGACTCAGACACAGAGAGATCAAAGTAAATAAACAGAATAGATTCATTTCATTTAAGCAGTGAAAGTATATAAAGTTAAACATAATGGCTGAAATATTAGGTTTGAAATACTTCATATATAGTTCCCACACTTTAAAGAAAAAGTCTCTCAGAATGTAAAATACATGTTAAAGTCTTGTAGTAACCCTTGGAAGCGTTAACAGTTGGCCGTTTTGCACCGGTTCATTACATCAGAATCTTTTTCCTTGCAGCAAAAGTAAGTGTGCATTACAGTCTTTTTATTAAAGTTATTATTCACAGTCCTGTTTTTAGCATGAAGACCAGATTTGTTTTTTTTACACATAATCCCCTAAATTTTTTTTTTTTTACAAATTATATCTAACCAAAACCAGGACCAAAAACAATGCTTCAGTGTACCAACTTCTGTTTTACATTTAGTTTAGTTTAGTTTAATTTAGTTTAGTTTAGTTTAGTTTAATTTAGTTTAGTTTAGTTTAGTTTAGTTTAGTTTAGTTTAGTTTAGTTTAGTTTAGTTTAGTTTAGTTTAAATTGTTTATTCATTTCATTTAAAACCAAAAATTTTAACACAATAAAAACAAAAGATATACACAACATATATACACAACAAAATCTATATACAAATCAAATTGAAATGAAAGGAGGCAGAAAGAAGAAAAAAATCTTACAATATCTGCCCCTTTTTTCTACAATTAATTTAAAGCAATAATAATTAGGAAAAGAAAAGAAAAAAAAAGAAAAAAAAAACAAAATAAAAACTTCAATTCATTCTCAAACAACTTATTTATACATTATACAGACCCATAGATATACATTATACAGACCCATAGATATACATTATACAGACCCATAGATATACATTATACAGACCCATAGATATACATTATACAGACCCATAGATATACATTATACAGACCCATAGATATACATTATACAGACCCATAGATATACATTATACAGACCCATAGATATACATTATACAGACCCATAGATATACATTATACAGACCCATAGATATACATTATACAGACCCATAGATATACATTATACAGACCCATAGATATACATTATACAGGCCCAAAGATATACATTATACAGACCCATAGATATACATTATACAGACCCAAAGATATACAATATACAGACGCATATACATTATACAGACGCATATACATTATACAGACCCATAGATATACATTACACAGACCCATAGATATACATTACACAGACCCTTAGATATACATTACACAGACCCTTAGATATACATTACACAGACCCTTAGATATACATTATACAGACCCTTAGATATACATTATACAGAAGAATAGTTGTACATTATACGGACGCATAGATGTACTTTATACAGACGCATAAATGTACTTTATACAGACGCATAGATGTACATTATACAGACGCATAGATGTACATCATACAGACGCATAGATGTACATTATACAGATCCATAGATAAACAGACGCATAGATATACTTTATACAGACCCATAGATATACATAATACAGACCCACAGATATACATTATACAGACGCATAGATATACATTATACGGATGCATAGATATACATTATACAGATGCATAGATATACATTATACAGAAGCATAGATATACATTATACAGACCCATAGAGATCAGAACCACAGTAGTGTCTGTGTTTCAGAACTTTGTTGTGTCAGTCTTATTGTATTACACACAGACATCAGTTTAACATATTTCCAATTATCACTCCAGTTTTCAAACCTGAAACTTCAGGCTCCTTAGACTCAGGATTGCTCYTACTCAACCTCCCATCTGTAATTCTGTTAAAGAACAGCAAGTGTTTGAGTTTTATTTTGAAAGAGACGTTTCGGTTTCCAACCAGATGGTGTGAATTAACTTTAACTCAGCCGTGTGTTTGATGCAGTCTGATGTGMTTTTGTGTTTTCAGGCGGAGGCAGGAGCACGAGGCCTTCCTGGCTCAGTTCAGCTGCTCGCTCTGCGCCGACATCATTCATCAAGTGGTGGACGAGACCGCGCGGGAAACCGCCTCCGCTGAAATCCAGTACGACTGCACACATCCCCCGAAATGTTTCATTTTATACAATTATTTCTAATAAATAAACATGGCTGTTTGTGGAAATCACAGCCTGTTTTTATGAACAGAATTTAAAATCGTATTTCATCGCCTGTGTTTGTTTTATCAGGGAGGCTCTGAGGGAGAAAGCAGAACGTTTGGATAAATGCAGTAAGCAGATCTGCTGCCAGCTGATCGATGAGACTCTGAAGACAGAAATCTCTCTGCTGGTTGAAGACCTCCTGGAAGCAGAGCTGGAGCTCATCTACAAGTACATCAAGAGGTGAAGAACCAGTGACGCTTCTGAAACTTTTCAKAGTTCACAGTGTGTTAACGGCTTTCTGTCCGCACCTTCAGGTGGCGTGACGTGGTGGCGGTTCGACGCAAGCTGAAGCGTCAGATGAGGGGCTTTCCTGCMGCGCCTTGCTGCGTGGACCCTCGGTTCAAACTGAAGGCCCTGGCCCCCAGCGCCCCCGCCCAGCCCTGCAGAGCGGACCTGGCTCGAGGTGTGGTGGACCTGGGGAACGCTGGCGTGTTCGCCGTGTCCAGCACCAGGTGAGCTCGTCCTCCGCTCTTCTTCTGCTGCTGTCAAACACGTTGTGTGTCCTCATCAAACACATTGTGTTTCCTGATCAAACACGTTGTGTGTCCTCATTAAACACGTTGTTTCCTCATCAAACACGTTGTGTTTCCTCATCAAACACGTTGTTTCCTCATCAAACACGTTGTGTTTCCTCATCAAACATGTTGTGTGTCCTCAGGCTGCTGAGGATGAGACAAGAGGCCGTCCATCAGCTGAGAGTCCACTGCTTCTATCAGCAGCTGCTGCAGTGAGTCCAGGTTCAGGTGCTGCTCTGTGTCATGAAGCTGTAGTTTGACGTGTTCATGATYCTTCCTTTAGGGAGAAGGTGTGGGCGCCGCTCGATCTGCCCGCGCTGCTGACTGACAACATCCCAAACCCACCTGATCGCATCTTCTGGAAAATCGTGCTGCTCCTCCCCAGTGATCATGAAAGTGCAGCCAGTCTGGCTGACAGGTGAGAGACGACCTGTTCCTGTGACCCGCTGACACGTCAGCGCTGCTACCTGATGTTCCGTGTGTTTCAGGCTGCTGTCAGACTGGCTGCAGGTGAAACTGGGTTCTGACAGAAGCTCAGGGGAGGAGCCGGACGGTACCATGAGAACTCTGTGTGTCACCAACACTCTGCAGGAGAGCAGGCAGAGGACTCACAAGGTCCACGTCACGGTCAAGGTGAGCTGTTAGCTACAGGACAACACTAGAGGTGAGCTGTTAGCTAAAGGACAACACTAGAGGTTAGCTGTTAGCTACAGGACAACACTAGAGGTTAGCTGTTAGCTACAGGACAACGCTAAATGAGCTGAAATCAGCT